TTTATTATTCATGATCCCCTCTCCCTAAGAAGAGGCTATTCAAAAAAGACTGATTTGGGCTTGACGAAGGACTAGAAGGCAATATCTCAGTGTCACCACCAGAGCATGACCATTGCCAACATCTTCTGGTTGTGAAATCTTTTGCAGGACTGGGGCTACAGCTTGTATTTATCACTGTCAGCCTTAATGACAGAAGCTGAGGCTGAAATAGCAGGCTTTGAAGACAAAGTGTACGCATTGCGTTCCATGCAGTTTTATCCAACAATATCAACAGTTTGTGACTCTTTCTTTTCCAACTTTGTCATCAAACTGGCTTTTTGGCATCTTGCATCACTTTTCCCGAAGCAGCAGTGTCACCCCTTTGGTCAATGATCTTTTCTTATACCAATTTGATTTGACTTTTCTTTTGAAAAGCAGATAACTGTTTTTCACAGTCAAATTTCTCACGCAACAGACCTCTTATGGCTACTGGAGCTCATCACAAGACTTGTAGTCTTTCACTGTCTTTGCCTTTTCAAGTCTAAACTGCTTTATTTCTTATTTGGTCTTCAATGTTACTGAGCAGAGTTTTCATGTGTCATCTCTGTCACGCGTTCTTCTCTGTCTATTTTTCTTTTTCTTCCCTCATCGTTGCCATTTTCATCACTTGTACCACTACTTGGACCTTTAGACCTCGAAAGTACCTTTTCTTAAACTTATAACCACTATTTCTCACTTGTTCTTTGGCTTTATCGAAAAGCTCACCTAAAAATCAACGAGCGCATTTCAGTCAACCTATTTTTCCACACTAAAATATCATAGTCATATAAATTCATGGGACTATTATGAAAATGCATTTTGAAATGTTTAGAAAATAGATTATAGCCTTTTTCTTTGATCTCAGAAGTATCCTCCTCAGGTTTCTTCATCACTTCCTAACAGAAACAAGTTTAATAACTTTCATAAGTTTAAGACTTACAGGCCATCACAGTCATACAAAAACATTAGTTCCAATTAAAAAGAAAAAGCTCACCAGAGCTCTAGTAAAGACAAATGGAGTCTTGGCATGATTTCCAACCAAATGTTTCAATTTTACATCACACATCCAAACATTTAAACAAAAGGTTAAAACAAAGCAAAAAATAAATACCTCTTTGGTGGGTTCTCGTAAACAAGATTTCCACAAAAAATGCCAGTCTCTGCTGCTTCGTGTGACTGGTGTTGCAAGTAGTCACAGAGCTATTTCAGGGTGTTTTCACCATTAACAGTAACATCAGGCAAGTGTTGACTGGCAGAGCACTGAAGACATCTTCATCATCAACAACCGATGAATCTTCAAGGCAGACAAGAACATTTTCTGGAGCACCTTGTTAATGACAGTTTTGCATGCCCCTACAAAAACCAAAACCGAAAGAAAAGTTTAGCTTCTTTCTTTGACACTTTGTTTAATAAATACAAGTCAAAAGTAGTTTAATAAAAAGTGATGCTTTAATACCTTTTTGCTTTTAACTCGTTTAGAGAATTAGCTGAGACAAGAAATCTTGCCTGGCCACTCACGTGTCTCTTATTTTTAACAACGGCATCATCGGCACCAAAAAGACGGCTTTTCTGCAAAAAACATAGCAAAGAAAATCGCTCTTAAACTCTTCAACAGATACATCTTTGAAAGCATAAAAATAAAATCAGAATAAAACATATGCCACTACTATAAAAACACTTCAATGCACGTAGAAGACTTCCCCTTCTATTGAAATATATCATTCTAGTTCAGTATGAAAAGCCACTTCTACCACGGCTACACTTCAAAGTAGGAACGTTCTAAAACAGCTTTTTAGACTAGATGGCCTATGAAGTAGCAGATAAATATCGGTAAGAAAACTCACCTTCTCCGAAAACACGCCATTCCAAAGACAAGAAAGATGTTGACCAGGTAACCATGCTTTGTCTTGGCCCCAGTCTCTGCCGAACAAATCAAATGTCCCGACCCCTCGAGCAAGGTATTGATCAAACCTCCCACTGAGGAGATGGATTCCTTGGTCAAATCCTTGCCCACCCTCTTCCCCCCAGGGGTTTACATTGATAGGTGCATAACCTGCGATCAGGCGGCCTTTTCCCTTTTTGTTTGGGAGGTGAGGGGAAAAAAACGCCTGATCGCAGGTTACTGTAACCAGACTAGGACCATAATTAATTCAGGATCTTTTGTTTAAAGGTTTTTACGGTGACCAGAAGGGTCACGCATGCAAATTGCAAAAAAAATGTTGCTGCAAACCAAAAAATTTTACCTGCAATTAAAAAAATTGTACATGCAAACTAAAAAATATTACCCGCAAATTAAATATAGTAAATGCAAATTTAAAATTGTGCTGCAAATTGAAAAATACTACAGTACATACGAACTAAAAATTGAGGCGACGGATGGAACAAATTGCCGGGGAAATTAGAAAATGTGTTATCGTTAATATTGAAATTTCACTCGTATTTGTTATTAACATACTCAAAATAAACAAACAAGAGTTGCGTGAATTCGCTAAATACCTTGCTGCATATTGAAATAGTTTACAAGGAGTCTAAAATAGTAAGGCGCCAAAACCGTAGAAGCAAAAAGAAAACTTATCGACGCAAAGTAAAAATGAAAAGTCCTGCGCGCGCGTTGGCATCCATAAGGTACTGGGGTGAGCCATGAAACCTTGCAAAATGGAGGAGGAAAGTTCGCTAAACATGAACTGCTTTCATCTTGGTATGAAAATGAGGTCATTTTGTAATTCTTGGTCGACTACCATGGCATTAAAATGAGTTTGAGTACGCTAAAACGCAGGCTGCGAGATTATGGCTTGAAAAATATGAAACGAGGTCGATGTTGACCAGTTGATGATCAGAATTGAAATCAGTGGTTCTGGTCAAGCACTAGGATACAGAGCAGTGTGGCATCTTTGAGCCTAGTACATCAATTCATGTCCCTCGCCACTTAGCAGCAACTATTTTACGGAAGTCGACCCAGTGGGAGTCCAGCAGAGAAGAAGGCGAAGACTCTCGGAGGAAATATGTCTTTACGGTCCAAACTTCTGCTGGCACGTGAATGGTAATTTAATAAACTTATGTTTGTAAGGCTTTTGCTATTGGTAAAATAATGGCTCTACGTGTATGCAACACGATTTGAGCTAACACTCTTCATAGACTTAAGAGGGCTTCGGGGGGGGAAGGGAGCAGTTTTAGATTACCTACCTGGTCTTCAAAGGCCTGTTTGATCTGTTTACATTGTAGGTGAGCCAACTCGGTTAGCCAGACAGGCTCTGCTCATGCCTTACTTTCTCTTTAAATTTTGATGTGTTTATATGAGAACGTGGGCTGGCACGGTTTCCACTAGATCCCAGTTGCTCAGTTATTACATGCATATGGTAAGCTTGATGTCCTTCATTGCTTAAAGAACGAAGGTGAATGTTAATTTGATTATGCAAATATTATTATTTAAGTAATAGAAAACGTTTTCCATGTCTGCATAGCCTGATATAAAACACGAGGGTTTAGGTGTCCGAAATTTGCTTCCATTTATTTGCTCGCCTCTTAAAATGAATTGCAAAAAGATAAATGAAATTTAAAATTAACCTCTTTAATTACAATCAACCAGCAAACAACATCTCAGGTTAAAACAGTTATAGAGACATATAAAAATTAATTAAACATAGGAATTAGCTATTAGCCAATCGGAGGAGACCTTAGCAAGCTGCTCTGTCACTCCTTTTAAGCGATCCTTATGTCAAAGCAAATGTATTCCATGAAAGACTTTTTTTTCTGGCTGCCCTGATCCCCGTCCCCCACCTCCAGCGCTTGCACTTTGCCCATTACTAATTACGTCACGAAACAGATCTCAAGACAAGTTGGAATCACGACACCATTTTGACCTCCTGGTTTGAATCTTTTCCTTTTCTGTTTACTTTACCTCTAGCACGATCGATTTTTTCTTCTCAAAACACTGTTCTCATACACCGTCAAGAAATGCACTGTTAATATTTGGATTCGGTCGGTTGAGTTAGCCCTAAGAGTGATCAGCATCAAATTTCTCCTTGTAATATCAATGCTTTGTAAAACAGAGTGGTCATGAGATTACGGACATGATCACACAAGATGAATTTGCTTGATATATTATCAACTTCTCCCCACTACTTCTCTAGGAAATGAATAGGGGGCAACAAATGAGAATTCAATTTTTCATCTTAGGGTTTAAAGGGTTAACGTTTCAAAATGACTTAAATTCACCCAGTTTGGCTTGTCTATCTCAGTCATTCAGTAGAAACGCAACTTTGTTTTTGCAACGGGAAAACCTACAAAGATTAAGAAAAACGATTATTTGGGGTAAAAATATCCACTTTTATGCATGTCGAAAGATCATGAAAATTCCTGAACCTCGATGCCGTCTTACAGAGATTTCTTCAACAACCAAAACTAATTCCTAGGTATCGCTAAGAGGAATGTCTAATGTGCGATTTAACTAGAATAAACGCAATTTTTGAGTTACACCACATGTGAAAAATATTGCCGTTGAAAATGAATAACAAAACAACGTTTTTTAATCCATAAACCTTATTCCTCATTTTCGAATTATGTCTTTTTCGGTGAGTGTCGACTTTTTCTGGGTCGGGCCACCTTATTAAAAGATACTGATTCTTTCACTCATTTTGGACTAATTTGGATTTCCGAGAATATGATGTTGTTTTACTCCAGGTGCATTTATTTATTTGCTAGTAAATCATTCAAATGACACCTGAAAAGAGATTTCAACCCCTGGAATATTGACACCCACCAAAAAGGACAAGAAGCTACTTAATTCTCTTTATTGTTTTCAAATGAAAAATATAACACAGTACATGAAAAGCTTCATGTTTTTTCCTAGTATCGGGGGTTGATTTCACTGTTGCGTGATTTTAGATTTGTTCGCACGGAAAATTACTTTTGATTGTGGAAATCAACCCTCACTGACTATAAAAGAGGTTGATTACATGAAATAGATCTTCTTTATTGCATCTTTAAGCATCATCTTGAATGATAGCCACTTTGATGAATCTAATACCGACCCTTTCTACTTTGTGACCTTTGTACACTTCCAGGGTGAGTCCCTTGTTCAACATCACACGGTTGTTGTAACCAGCGGTCCTCACGAAGCCTCCGTCATGGGGAATGTAGCACGAGCCCCAGCGTTCATCCAACTTGAGTGTAAAGACAAACTGTCCTGGGTAGAAGGAGTCGTTGGGTTTGGGAAGAACCGGATTATTTTGCATGGAAGAAGCGCTTGCACCTGAAACCCCTTCAATTCCATAGCAGGGTGCATTGGTTTTGTAGTTGTACTTGTCGCAAGTTTCAAACCCAATAAACCTGGTGCCGTCAGACACCACGTATCTTATGTCTATCAATAGGTTTGCTTCCAATACTGACGTCATGAGCAACGGTGATCTCTACAGTCAGCGGTGCCAGCTTTCAAAACGTCGGGAGGAATCATGGGTACTTTAAGAAGAGCGGCATTGTCTTTTGCGCCTGCGTTGAATGTGAGTTGTTGGGATGTTGATGTACGAGAACTGTCGATATATGACGCATGCGCCTCCAACCAAGTCGGAGTCATGGTCGATGGTAAATCACTTTTCCCTTTGAAAAGATGCGTAAATATAATCAGAGAACAGAACAACCAATTTTTGTTTACTTTTTGCTCTTATTTCAAGAGTGAGTCTTGAAAAAGTAAAATAAAAAAGTACCTGAGGTTACCTAGGATTGACGTATTTATAAGAGGACTTTTTAACTCGGCTTTGGTTCTGATTCGTCAAATATTATGATCACTGGGAAATTATAGTATTAATTAAGTCACTTTCTCTGCGTAACGTAGTGCATAAGTAATTGGCTCCTGGCATAACCCGAGAAATTTATCAACCAATGAATTTGTTAAATTTCTAACCAAAACTGTAATAAAATTATAACTAGCGGGGCCTGGGAACTAATTAGCAAACAGCGAAAGATTGCCCCATTTCATCATATTGGCCACCCGAAGATCAACGAAAGTAAGAAACTTTAACTGCCAGAAAACTATTACGTAAAATATATTTATTAAAACTCTAACATGACTCCGTGGCGTACTGGTCATTTTTCTATACTTGGTTCTCTTTGTAGTCAAATCTCTTCGGGGAATTGTGAGACAATCGTGAAAAATGTGCGCTTTTGACCCTAAAGCCTCGGAGTTATGTTAGAATTTTGATAGATCGAACGTGTTCTAGTATAAGTTGTTTAGAGCAAATGTGACATACCTGTCCACTGCATTGACTCCGTAAGCACGTTGTTTCCAGAAAGGAAGAATGAACTACCTGAAAGCATAATCAGATTTTATAGATTTTAATTGATTCTGTGCATGAAGCAAAAAGTTTTATTTTTTCTGTGAGGGGGAGAAGGGTTGGGAGGAGGACTTCACCTCTAAATAAATAATTCTACTGTGATTGTTTAAAACTTGAGTAGCCTTGTAATGTACTTACAGAGCAAAGCACAGCAAGTTGAGCGAGAAGAGTAACCGTGGACGCCATGCTGGGTCAGTCAGTTTCGTTTCTGAAGTGATAACAAGCTTGAATGGAGGAGATTGAAGTAGCTGCACGCTTTTTATTTTGTTAAGAGGTTTAATGTCCTCTATTTATTAAGTTAAAAGGTGTCAAGGGTCTTCGGGTGGTCTTCTGACGTCCTCTTCCCACGTCTAAGTCTTCCTATTTGGGACTTCCGACCGACCGGCTTTCAACATTCGGACTTTCGATTTCAGACTTATTTCAAAATTATATAACTATATTAGTCACGCTTCTTTGTTGAACGTTTGTCATCCTGTTCATCCTCCGTTATGATGTTACGGTGAGTAAACAGTCCTCCCCTTTAGTCTAAGGTCAACACTTTTAAAACTAAAATGTCACATTAGGGTTAATTCAGATTATATACAGGACAAACAGGCCAGGCGTTGTTACAAATCGGAAATATGATTATCGTCGTGTAAGCAAGCATGCAAATATGTGATTTTGGAAAAGCTGCGATAATAGAACGTGCTATAATACGTATTCTACAATTACGTAAAAACTATGTGTTCGGTTCCGTAATCGCTATGATATCAACACAATACTTCCAATTGCTATCTGACTCCAATTAGCTCACACAACATGACATTCCAGGTCCTTTTCTTCGGTTTATTCGCATCAACAGGAACAACTTACGAATTACATTTTCTCCGTTCTCTCGCACGGGTTTTAGAATCCCAGGGTTCTCTACGTATCTCTTTCAAGAACATTACATCACTTTGTAGCTATTTCAACATGGTTGTCACGCTATTCTAAAGCAAGTCAACTGTCACGTAGGTTGCTGCGTGTTTTCCTAAACTTATTTGAACTTATTTCAGTGTGGGATGCATTACCGAAAACTTCCGCTTATACGCCCTGAGCTTATAAAACTACGAAAGAGGGCTTAAAAACTTGTGGGGTGGGAGGGGAGGGGCTTGTAACCGGATAAAATATAGCGTTTCAATACAAGCTACACTGCAGTGTTGATCAAAACACTTTTTCAAGAATTTACCCGCTTTTTGAAGCTTCAAAATGTCGTAAAAAAATCAAATACATTTCAGAACAAGCTAGTGGGGTCTTATATCCGGGGGGAGCGCATAACGAGACATTATTTGTACAGGTATTTGGTTGAGCCTGTAGCTGGTGGCAGGGGGGGGCTTATAAGCGGAAGTTTACTCATATGAATACAGTGTAAGGGTATCACTTATACCTTCTAGTATATCTTCTAATCACGTACTATCCTACCGTCGTGTAAGAACTTTTTTTATAAGAACCTAAAATTTAAGAACATACCAAGAATTACTCTTGCTGAGGGTCAGTTAAGAACGTTTAATTCTGTTCTTTTTTTTAAGAGTTGTACAAATAAAGATACTCAGGAACATTTCTTAACATTAACCATCTTATTTTCTTATTCCGTGATAGACTGAAGAGAACAAGTCAATTTGTAGTACAACTTTGAAAACACGTTAAGAACGTTTTTAGGTTCAAATCACAAAAACGGAAGAGCGTTCAGCCTCAGCCCCACAATTAGCTCCCGCAGGGGGGGGGGGATACTTCCTTGGTCCTTAAAAGAGGCTAATGGAGAGGGGCCGCTGGATAGGGTCGCATTATCACGACTGGATTGACTATAATGGGGTTGCACCTTTTCGGATTTTGGGGGTAAGAAAGTTCTTCACATCTACGTTTAGCAAACGTGCCAGAATGTTTGTACTGTAGGTGAAAAGTAAGTGTTCTTCATTCAATTTAAAAAATGGGTCAGTTCATTTTAGGATGACCTATTTAAAGGATTGATCTACAAAGGTAGATGCATAAGTAAAAAGTGACTAAGTTGGGATCGCGAAAATTACATTTGCCCAAAAGTGACTAAGATGGGGTCTATCATTGGCCACAGAATAGACAATAATGGGGTAGGGGCTTTGAGAGGCCAGCGGCACATACCAGCAAAAATTTACCCAAGTACGCAACCCCCCTCCCCTAAGGAATTAGCTGTTCTTATAAAAAAAGTGCACAAGCACACTGATTCACTAAATAAACGAGTCTTCGTTGCGTCTATGACTAAGTCCTCCTCGTGTCATGAGTTAGTTACCGGATGTAACAATTGCAATTTGCTTGAGTAATTGTTTAACCCATTCACGTCCCTCTACCGCTTGTGACGTCATCGGTTTTAATGATCAAGGACAACTTCCTGAGGGAGGAGGGGACGTCTGTACACAGGCCACCAAAAGGCATGTTTCTTAAGCCCTAGAAGCTCCAAAATCATAGTAATGAAAGAAAAGGAAAGGAGAAAAGTGCGAGGAGAAAGAAAGGAGGCGAAGAAAAAAGAAGCAATGGTTGCACTCCTAGTTTTTATAATAGCTACTTTTTCGGCTTTTGGCCGAAAAGAACTGTTCGAAGCAAAAGGTCCATTTGGCGATAACGTTATCAAAAATCCGGCTAGATCTATTTGCCAGTGAATCACTCAAGACATCAACTATTGGAATATTGACACTGCGAAATAAGGCGGACACAATGTTGTTTTTTATTTCTCTATTTATTTTCTATCAAATTAAACAAACACAGAACATGAAGGCTTTCGTTGTTATTGTTACTAACTAAAGACGTTGATTACGTAAGTCTTAACTGTATCTTTAAGCATCATCTTGAATGATAGCCACTTTGATGAATCTGATACCGACCCTTTCCTCATATTCGCGTTTGTAGACTTCCAGGTTGAGTCCCTCGTTCAACATCACACGGTTGTTGTAACCGGCGGTCCTCACGAAACCTCCGTCATGCGGAATGTAGCACGAGCCCCAGCGTTCATCCAACTTGAGAGTAAAGACAAACTGTCTTGGGTAGAAGGAGTCGTTGGGTTTGGGAAGAACCGGACTATGTTGCAGGAAGAAAAGCTTGCACCTGAAACCCCTTCAATTCCATAGCAGGGTGCATTGGTTTTGTAGTTCCCTTTGTCGCAAGTTTCAAACCCAACAAATCTTCTGCCGTCAGACACCACGTATCTAATGTCGCTATCAATAGGTTTGCTTCCAATACTGACGTCATTTGCAACAGTGATCTGTACAGTCAGCGGTGTGCCAACTTTTAAAACGCCAGAAGGAATCATGGGTACTTTAAGAACAGCGGCATTGTCTTTTGCGCCTGCGTTGAATGTGAGTTGTTGGGGTGTTGATGTACAAGAACTGTCGATATATGAAGCATGCGCCTCCAACCAAGTCGGAGTCATGGTCTGATGGTAAATCACTTTTCCCTTTGAAAAGTTGTGTAAATAAAATCAGACAACAGCCAAGTTTTGTTTACTTTTTGCTCTTATTTCAAGAGTGGGCCTTGAGAAAAGTAAAAACACGGAGAGTACCTTAGGTTACCTAGGATTGTAGTGAAAGGTAACTTTTATGACGTAATGCAGAACAGAGAATGCAATGTTTTCGAGCGAACACGTAATACAGAACAGAGAATTCGTGAGTTGTGTGCGTGTTCGTGAGTCCCGTGCTCATCCCGTCTGTATCCAATCGTCGGGTGGATTCATTTGCAACATACACATATAGCTGTCGCATTTGCCCGCTGGGATTTTTTATTGTGTTTAGGCTTAAAATAAAAAACAAAAATTAAAAAAAATTCCTGCGGAGAAATGTGGCAGCTATACGCGTATGTTGCAAATGAATCCACCCGTCATTTAAAGCCGTTCGTGAGCCCCCCGTTAGCGTTAACTGTTTTGTTAAGAACTCAACCCCAGTGTCCTTAGATGAGGCACTCAACAAACGATTCCAAGTATAATGCACGAGTACGCTGCATGACATTTCTTAACAAATTGAACAGCGCACGGATAGGTAAAATCATTGCTCGTTGGCACTTAGCGATAGTTATAATTAAGCAATAGAAAACGTTTGTCGTGTTTGCATAGCCTGATATAAACACGAGACGGTTTGGGAGAATTCGAAACAGTTCGTCGAGGGTTAGCATAACTGTCTCGAATTCCCCAACCCCTCGAGTGTTTATATGAGGACTGTGCAAACACAGGAAAAAAAGTTTTCTATTGCTTTTATAAAATAACTTTCCTGAGGAAAAAGCAAACCTCTCTTGTTCAGAGCATTGATTAAAAGAGAAATTCTTACCAGTCGCGAAGTCTTGTACACGAAGCTTGTACGTGTAATCAATCTTTGTTTTGCAAAAAGATACTTTCAAAATACGGGTTTTCTCGCTTAAAATGTCAGCCCAAGCGAAAAAAAGTGACACAGCATGTTTCTAAAGATTTTTGAGGTTTCAAGCGACGAGGAAATGGGTACTGAATACAGCAAACTTGTCGAGTTTTTCGACTCAAACCTTTTTCAAATTCATGCTTGCGTGATTAGCGTGCGAAAAGCAAAACATCTTGACGTCACAACCATCTCTACATACTGTCATGCAAACACGCCTCTCGGCCAATCAGAGCGCGCGTACTATCTTAGTTATCTTATAACTAGTAGCAGTTATTAATTCATATTCCTGCGTGGCGTAGTTTATAACTAATCGGCTCCTGGCATAACTTGAGAAATTTTCACCCATGTGTCAAATTTCTAACCAGAACTGTAATAAAATATTAACTAACGGGGCCTTGGGAACTAATAGTAAACAGCGAAAGTTGCGTCATTTCATTGTATTGGCCTCCCAAAGATCAATGATAGTAAGAAATATTAACTGCCGAAAAACTATTACTATGTTCGATAAAAAAATATATGTATGTGTAATCAAATGGTGACGAGTGAAATTAATTCCAAATTATTAGGCTTTGGACAAAACGCAAGTGAGATTATTCCCTAATTTCACGAGTGTACCATTTGATTACCTATTAATATCATGGGTGACGAATTACGTTAGCAATCGAGGATTTTTGACTTATTTATGCTGGATCGTATCGATGGATCGTGACTCCACTCTCTCAAACGTTTAGAGCTTAAATTTGGCTTACGTTTTCAGAATTTTTCGACAACATACCTCTAAGAATCCTTCTTAATGTGCTCTTTCGTGTGTTCAGGTTTTCTAAGCGTCTTTTTATGCCCTGACATCTTCATTCACGACATTTTAAAACTTCGTCGCCATCTTGACTCTGAGACGTACGGCAGGTTGCCATGGCAATTTAGTAATTTCACATGTGAAATTACAAATTAACGCTGAAATTTCGCGCCAAAATTAAGGAGTAATTCGTCACCTATGATATTAATATTAAAATTCCAAAACGACTCATAGGCGTCCTCGTCATTTTCTATATTTGGTTTGGTTTGCTTTGTACTCAAGTCTCTTCTGGGAATTGTGAGGCAGTCGTAAAAATGTGCAATTTTGACCCTAAAGCCTCGGAGTCATCTTAGAATTTTGATAGGTCGAACGTGTTCTGGTATAAGGTGTTTAGAACAAATGTGACATACCTGTCCACTCCATTGACTCCGTAAGCACATTGTTTCCAGAAAGGAAGAATGAACCACCTGAAAGCATAATGAGATTTTATGAATTTTAATTGATTTCTATGCATGATGCAAAGGGTTATTCAATTTATAACCCTGGCGCTTTTTTGGTTGAGAGGACGATTTTACCGCAAAATTAATTCTCGGTTTTCACATGACGTCACCAAAATTCAAACTAAGAAACTGTCGCTTCTTCTTAGTTTCTACTTTCATGTGATATTAGAACACCTTAAAACTTTTATACAAACAAACTTTCAGTTCACAAGGATTCTTTGTTTTGCGATACAGGACGCTTGAATTTCCAGGCTTTTGCGTGACGCGGCATTTAGCTCGCGGGCCAAGAAAGCTCTTATGTGGGTTAAAAACATTGCGGATTTTTGGAGATTTTGCTATCTAAACATTCCTTGTCTTAGAATAAATATTCCTTCAACCTTTATGAGTTTCTCAATCGAAGAATTCACGCATAAGTAGGAAAACTCAAAAACAGATGTTTCTGTTAGTTTCCGGCGGCCATATTTGTGCCCCTGGAAGGGACACAAACATGGCGCCTCCATACAAAGCTTTATAAATTTGGGTAAAACGTTTTTCCGACTATCTCTCATATGAACTATTCCATAGACCTGATTCTTGGCAAGGCGTTTTGTATATTTATCTTCTTTCATTTCCCAGATTCTAGACTTTTTGTATTAAAAGGTTTCCATTTTTATTTCTGCTTTCTCACGTGAGTGAAAACCGAGAATACTTAAAATGCCCTTAAAAGAAGATGACAGTGTTGAACTCCGATTGATTTTCATAAACTAAAAGTTCGAGATGTTATTGCGTGGGGTGGGGTTCCAAACTTCCAGCCGTTTTAGTTGACGTTTACATGTTTTCGAGTACAGTCTAACCGCTCCTTACAGACACCTCTCTATTACGGACAGTTCGTTTGGTGCCAGAAAAGCCAAAAATCATACATTTCCTACCTCTATAATACGGACACCTCTGTAAAGCGGACACTTAGTTTTGTCCCTTTGGTGTCCGTATTAAAGAGGTTTGACTGTAATTTTAAAATCTTTCTTAAAGGGGTTTCCATTTCTTCAGACTATTTACTCCGGTCTTGTCGACTTCGAGAAATCAAAGTTCTATTGTAATTGTTAAAAACTTGAGTAGCCTCGTAACGTACTTACAGAGCAAAGCACAGAAAGCTGAGAGAGAACGACAATAACGGGAAGAGTAACAGTGAACGCCATGCTGGTTCAGTTTTTCGTTTCTGATGTGATAACGAGCTTGGATGGAGGAGACTGCAAGACTTTAGTAGTTGCACGCTTTTTATTCTGTGGAGAGGTTAAATATCATCTATTCATTGAGTTAAAAACGAAAGGCTTCAAGAGGGTTTGCCATCCTGTTTATCCTCTGTTGTGATATTATGGTGAGTAAACAGTCCTTTTTACTTTAAAAGAAAGGTTGAACCTTAAAACTAAAATGTCACGTTCCGGCTAACTAATTAAGGTTATAAACAGGACAAACTGGCATTGTTACAAATTGGGAATATGCTTATCGTCGTGTAGGCAAGCGTGCAAATATGTTTACGACAAAGGATATCACTTACACCGTCTTTTATATCTAATCACGTACCATCACTACCATCATTTAAGAAATTTTACAAGAACCTACAGGACTAAATTTTAAGAACATACCAAGATCTACTCTGACTGAGGCTCACTTATTGTTAAGAACGTTTTAATTCTGCTCTTTTTTATGAGCTGTACAAATCAAGATACTCAAATACTCAGGGATATTTTTTAATACTAACCATGTGGTTTTCTTATTCCGTGATTATTCCGTGATACACCAAATTTTAAGTACAACTTTGTGAACATGTTTTAAAAGGAACGTTTTTAGGCTCAAATTGCAAAAACTAAGAGCGTATAATTAGCTCCCGGGAATTAGCTGTTCTTATAAAAAAAAAAGAGCACAAGCACACTGCTTTACTAAATAAACGAGTCTACGCTGAGTCTATGATCAAATCCTCCTCGTGTCGTGAGTTAGTGACTGGATGCAATTTCAGAAGATACTTGAGTAACTGTTTAACCCATTCACTTCCCTTCTACCGCTTGTGACGTCATCGTTTTTTAATGATGAAGGACAACTTTATCCGCTAACTTGTGCAGCTTGTGACGAGATCTTTCAAACCATACCATGCGCACAATTCAGGCAAAAACACCCACGGAGGAAAACGCAAAAAACCATGTAACAATGACCTGAAAATTTCCGTCAAAGAAAATCTTCTTCCAGTACCCACCTACCTTTCCTTTCATCCAATCCTAGGAACCTAAAAGCAGTTTCCTAGAAATTTTTCCCACCAAAATAAAGCCAACTAAATGCCCAGGAAAGGAAACAAAACGGGACAAGAAAAGGGAAAAAAGAGGGGAGGGGAGAAACGAAAAGTAAAAGTTAAGACTTCTCTGTCACTTACGACCTGTAAATGGCTTTATAGTTAAGTCAGTTTAGCTCTCCACGAAGGTGACCAGAATAACGCGTGTGAAGCAAAGTAACCCTCTTTGTAACCAGACATTACTTTAACTGAAAAGGAATAATCGACTAATCAAAGCATCATGCGACAATGTTGCGCCCTGAAGGGTAGCGAAGTAAAAGGAGCGCGAAAAAATAAAAGCGAGGGAGGGGGAGAGGTGAGAAAGGGAACGCCTGTTAGATTTGTTTTAAATAGACTCATCCGCCCACTCAGACCTCATCAGCTGTAGGTGGTCTTCATTTGTCAATCAAGACTGATGTTACAGCCCGATACAATTATTTTTTTTCTTACGAATAAATCAAAATTTCTCAGATCAAAAATTAATATTATGTATACATAATCTTACTAAAAACCTATGTAAGACTTTCAGACAATAGAGAGCGCGAGAAGTAAGGATCGTAATTTAATTAATGGACAATGCGCCCATATCACGCCTTCGTCAAGGAATATACATCCATTGTTTAAATTTTTTTTGATGTACGAATGTGCAGCATAAGGGTGTCGTAGTGGTTATTGTTATAAACAGGAATTTAAAACTAAGGTCATAATGGTTGTTATATTCACTGAAGCTGGCTCAGTTTGTTTCCCAGCCTCGGGGGTGGGGGACGGAGGTACTTGGGTCAATTTTTGCCTGGCGTGTACCGCGCCGCTGGCCTCTCAGAACCCTTAACCCGTTATAGCAAATTCTTCTTACAAGAATATGTTAACCCCCAAAATCCCTAAAATTTCCAACCCTATTCTACTAACTCTTGAAAAATACAAATCTGTTATAATCAATCCAGTCCAATCTATCCAGTGACACATCTTCTTTAGCCTATTACTAGGAGGTCCCCCCCCCCCCCCACACACACACACAGAGATTTTTTAGATAGACTTAGTAGGCCTTAGTAATTATATTGCAATGAGGTGAATGAGTGGAACTCTTCAATATAGCTGGAGTGTTTTCAAAAGATATTTTCGTATGGGTAGGAGACGGCAATCTTTTAAAAGTGTATTGTAATCTCAAGAAAACCGCTTTCAATTCAAGGTCCACGGCTCAGTAGCTTGGCTATACTACTAACGTTCAAGATAGACTTAGTAGGCCTTAGTAGTAACATTGGATTGCGGTCAGGTGAATGTGTGTAACGCTTATAGCTGGAATGTTGTCAACAACCATTTTCAAGTGGTTAAAAGACGGAATTTCAAAGGTTTGTAATCCCGAGAAAGCTCCTTTCGAGCCAATGAAATTTTTTATAAGTACATGAATAGATGTATGCGAAGTAAGCTGCTTCTTGCGTAACTTAATTCTTAAAAAATATATGTTGTCATTCACTACGATCACTGAGCTACTATCACGGTAAGTCCGTTGGGCGAATCAGGCGAGAGTAGAAAAGAGAAGAGGCGCAAGAGAATGAACTGATACCGTTTTTTTCCGAAAACTTTAACCTCTGTAAATCTTTTATGCACTGTATCTTTTTTTTTTCTCCCAGAATAATCTTTCCTCATTTTAACCATGTAACATTAAATATTCCCGCAGGTAAATTAACTGGCCTGCCAAGATTAGCTCTAGCTACCTGCTGGCTAGTGCACCCTTGTAAACCTCAATAAGGGAAATAAAATATTTTGTATTTGTGGTCGTTGTTGTTGTGGAGGGCTGGGGTTACAGGGGCCGCGAAAAAAGGCAGTTTCGGGCGACTGACAGGCATGGGAAGGAGTTAGTCTCTCTAACGGCGCGCAGGTTATTATCGGATGTTTGGGACTATTCATTCTTTGTTGATCAGTCTTTTTGTTTGCATTTAAGAAAAAATAAATAAAAACTGAGATAAAGTTTATTCTTAGTCCTAGGATTTTACTGTATATCTCTGCCATACCCTTTTCTTGGTGTACCCTGTCACTGAACAAGATGGTGACTACGGTTCAGCATTCACATTGTTATTATATGTACTTTCGGCCCTTATTTCATAATTAACTCAGACTTCGTTGGCAAGAGATCTTGGTGCAGGATGACTGCATGAATGTCGTACGTTTTTTCCCCTGCTTTCCTTGTTTCCATCTTACCGCCTCCCTTATTTTATTTTCCCTTGTGTCAATTCAGTTTTTAAAAGTATGTAAATAGTCAAAAAATGATTTTCTTTTGAAAATCTAAAGCAACTGATGTATGTGTAAATTACCTTGGAAAAGGTTAGTTGAAGCCAAGTCTGATGTCCTTCTATTTATCCCAGTATATCATGGCCATGATTTATGAATGGAGTTCGATGGAGTTCTCGATCTTGCAATCGGCTAAAGCTATCCTCATGATCTTTCAGACACGTTTTTTAGAAGAATTGTAGCTACTATGAGGTGAAATTACATTTCAAAAGTCTTTCTTTTTCTACAGATAACGGCCGAAGATCAAGATTGTCAAATTGATCAGTAATGATTTATATTTTTGCTTCTTTTAAAGAAACATTAATAACGAAATACACTGGTTTTATAGAAGTCACAATAAAAAGTGACCGGGGAAGCAAAAAAATAGCGAGGTAGAAACAAACTATTCGCCAGGTATCGGGGAGGCTAACTTAGCTCAAAGAACTTAAGCTGGGCCTGGAAGTGTGTCGCTGTAATGTCTGAACCACTGGGTAGGGTCTCACTGGGTCTGCTACAAGGGGGGTGTTCTTGACATTGCTGCACGCTGCTGTACATCTGAAAATAGAGAATATGGCGCTATTCTTTACATTCAATGCATGTATCTATTTGCCGGTGAATCACTCAATCACTCCAGACATCGACCATTGGTATATTGACACTGAGAAATAAGGCGGACACATTGTTGTTCTATTTCTCTATTTATTTTCTATCAAATTAAACAAACACAGAACATGAAGGCTTACGTTGTTAATGTTACTGACTAAAGACGTTGGTTACATGAGTCTTAACTTCATCTTTAAGCATCATCTTGAATGATAGCCACTTTGATGAATCTAATACCGACCCTTTCTCCTTTGTCGCTTTTGTAGACTTCCAGGTTGAGTCCCTCGTTCAACATCACACGGTTGTTGTAACCAGCGGTCCTCACGAAGCCTCCGTCATGTGGAATGTAGCACGAGCCCCAACGTTCATCCAACTTGAGAGTAAAGACAAACTGTCCAGGGTAGAAGGAGTCGTTGGGTTTGGGAAGAACCGGATTATGTTGCAGGGAAGAAGCGCTTGCACCTGAAACCCCTTCAATTCCATAGCAGGGTGCATTGGTTTTGTAGTTCCCTTTGTCGCAAGTTTCAAACCCAATAAACCTGGTTCCGTCAGACACCACGTATCTTATGTCGCTATCAATAGGTTTGCCTCCAATACTGATGTCATGAGCAACAGTGATCTCTACAGTCAGCGACGTGCCAACTTTCAAAACACCAGGAGGAATCATGGGTACTTTGAGAAGGGCGGCATTGTTGTGTGCGCCTGCGTTGAATGTGAGTTGTTGGGGTGTTGATGCACGAGAACTGTCGATATATGACGCATGCGCCTCCAACCAAGTCGGAGTCATGGTCTGATGGTAAATCACTTTTCCCTTTGAAAATATGCGTAAATATAGTCAGAGAACAGAACAACCAATAATTTTTTTTTTACTTTTTGCTCTTATTTCAAGAGTGAGTCTTGAAAAAAGTAAAAATAAAGAAAGTATCTGAGGTTGCCCAGGATTGTCGTTTTTATAAGAGAACTTTTTAACTCGGCTTTGGTTCTGATTCTTCAAATATTGTGATCACAGGGAAAAAAGTATGTGTAATCAAATGGTGACGAGTGAAATTATTCCCTTATTTCACGAGTATACCATTTGATTACCTATTAATATCATGGGTGACGAATTACGTTAGCAATCGAGGATTTTTGACTTGTTTATCCTGGATCGTATCGATCGATCGTGAACTCCATTCTCAAACGTTTAGAGCTAAAATTTGGCTTAAGTGTTCAGAATTTTTCGAGAACATACCTCTAAGAATCCTTCTTGATGTGCTCTTTCGTGTGTTCAGGTTTTCTAAAGCGTCTTTTTATGCCCTGACATCTTCATTCATGACATTTTAAAACTTCGTCGCCATCTTGACACTGAGACGTACGGCAGGTTGCCATGGCAATTTAGTAATTTCACATGTGAAATTACAAATTAACGCTGAAATTTCGCGCCAAAATTAAGGAGTAATTCGTCACCTATGATATTATAGTAGTAATTAATTCACTTTCCCTGCGTAACGTAGTGCATAAGTAATTGGCTCCTGGCATAACTCGAGAAATTTATCAACCAATTAATTTGTTGAATTTCTAACCAAAACTGTAATAAAATTAAAACTAGCGGGGCCTGGGAACTAACAGCCAACAGCGAAATTAAAGATTGCCCCATTTCATCATATTGGCCACCCAAAGATCAACGAAAGTAAGAAATTTTAGCTGCCAGAAAAGTATTACGTAAAATATATTTATTAAAACTCTAACATGACTTCGTGGCGTACTGGTGATTTTTCTATATTTGGTTTGTTTTTTTTTTGTACTCAAGTTGTGAGACAGGAGTGAAAAATGTGCACTTTTGACCCTAAAGCCTCGGAGTTATGTTAGAATTTTGATAGATCGAACGTGTTCTAGTATAAGGTGTTCAGAACAAATGTGACAAACCTGTCCACTGCATTGACTCCGTAAGCACGTTGTTTCCAGAATGGAAGAATGAACCACCTGAAAGCATAATGAGATTTTATGAATTTTAATTGATTTTATACATAATACAAAGGGTTATTCAATTTATAACCTTTTTGGTCGCAGAGGACGACTTTGCCGCGAAATAAATAATTAAAATGCCCTTAAATGAAGATGACGGTGTTGAACCCTGATTGATTTCCAGAAAGTAAACGTTGGAGATAATATTGCGTGGGGGTGCGGGCTCCAAACTTCCAGTCATTTTAGTTGCCGTTCACACGTTTTTGAGTACAGTCTAACCTCTCCTTACAGACACCTCTATAACGGACACCTTTCTATTACGGACAGTTCATTTGCTCCCAGAAAAGCCAAAAATCATACATTTCCTACCTCTATAATACGGACACCTCTGTAAAGCGGGCAATTGTTTCCGTCCCTTTGGTGTCCGTGAATTAAAGAGGTTTGACTGTAATTTTAAAATCTTTCTTGAAGAGGTTTTCCATTTCTCAGACTGTTTACCCCGGTCTTGTCGAGTCCGAAAAATCAAAGTTCTTCTGTAATTGTTAAAAACTTGAGTAGCCTCGTTATGTACTTACAGAGCAAAGCACAGCAAGTTGAGAGAGAAGAGTAACCGTGAGCGCCATGCTGGACCAGTTTTTTGTTTCCGATGTGATAACGAGCTTGGATGGAGGAGACTGCAAGACTTAAGTAGTTGCACGCTTTTTATTCTGTGGAGAGGTTAAATGTTATCTGTTCATCGGCTTAACAACGAACAGTGTTAAGGGTCTTGTGACGTTCTCTTCCGACTTTCGTGTTTCTCAGTATTTCGGACTTCCGACGGACCGGCTTCCAACATTCAGACTTTCGATTTCGGACTTATTTCATACTCATATACTTTAGATAAATGAATTATTTTAGTCGCGCTTTTTTGTTGAACGTTTGCCATCCTGTTTATCCTCTGTTGTGATATTATGGTGAGTAAACAGTACTTTTTACTTCAAAAGAAAGGTTGAACCCTAAAACCAAAATGTCACGTTCCGGCTAACTAAGGTTATAAACAGGACAGACTGGCATTGTTACAAATCGGAAATATGCTTATCGTCGTGTAAGCAAGCGTGCAAATATGTGATTTTGGAAAAGTTACAATAACTAGAACGTGCTATAATTTAATACGTATGCTATAATTACGTAGAAACCATGCACGCGCTTCTACTCTTCTACCTATAGGATTTCATTGTGGGATGCATTACAGAAAACATCCGCTTCTAAACCCTCCTGAGTCGAGCTTATACAACTACGTAAGGGGTTTTAAGAAGGCTTACAAAATGGGGGAGGGGCTTACTAACCGGACTGAATAGTGTTTCAAAACAAGCTACATAGCGGTGTTGATCCAAATACTTTGTCAATTTACCCGCTTTTTGAAGCTTCAAAACGTGGTAAAAGGAAATTTAACACATTTCAATACAAGCTAGAAGGGGCTTACATCTGAGGGGAGCGTGTAACCGGACATATTCTTTTACAAGTATTTGGTTGGGCCTGTAACTGGTGGGGGAGAGGGCTTAACAGGGCCTAACAGCGGAAGTTTACTCATATAATTACTTTGTTTACCACAAAGGATATCACTTGTACCGTCTTTTATATCTAATCACGTACTTTCACTACCAACATGTAAGAACTTTTTTACAAGAACCTACAGGACTAAATTTTAAGAACATACCAAGATCTTCTCTGACTGAGGGTCACTTGTTGTTAAGAACGTTTTAACTCTGCTCTTTTTTATGAGTTGTACAAATAAAGATACTCAAATACTCAGGGATATTTTTTAACACTAACCATGTGGTATATTAATCGGTGATTATTGCGTGATACACTGAAGAACAAATCATTTTGTAGTACAACTTTGAGAAGATGTTTTAAAAGGAACTGAAGGAACGTTTTTAGGCTCAAATTACAAAAACTAAGAGCGTATCCTCCTCTCCTGGAATTAGCTGTTCTTATAAAAAAAGAGCACAAGCACACTGCTTTACTAAATAATCGAGTCTACGTTGACCAAATCCTCCTCGTGTCGTGAGTTAGTGACTGGATGCATACAAAAAAGATACTTGAGTAATTGTTTAACCCATTCACGTCTCTTCTACCGCTTGTGACATCATCGGTTTTAATGATAAAGGACAACTTTGTCCGCTAACTTGTGCAGTTTGTGAAGAGATCTTTCAAACCATACCATGAGCACAATTCAGTTAAGGACACCCGCGGAGAAAAAGGCAAAAAACCATGTAACATTGACCTGAAAATTTCCATCAAGAAAACCTTGTTCCAGTACCCAACTGGGCGTCGATAAAGCCCGGAACATGGAACAACCCGGAACATTCCGGAACATCCCGGAACATGAAAAAATTAAATTTTTTTTTATGAAAAAAAGAGTTAATTAATTAAATAATAATAATAATAATAATAATAATAAAGAACAATAGATAGAAAACAATTTTTGCAAAAATTTATAATAACAAAATAAATAACATAACATAAAAACGAAAAATAAAGAAAGAAAGAAAAAGAAACTGGTATCATCTCCGAGTATGAGAAAACAATATTTTGTCGCAATGAATTTTTTGGGCGAGTGAGGGTCCATTCAAATGACAGTAAAGAGTGAAGGCTTGCTTCTAAATTCAAAATATATTAATATATAGATTTAGCCAGGGCTAAAAGCGAAGCTCCCGTTAATAAATTGATAATTTAAATCAAACAATAAACTAGTAATCCACAGATCAGGGCACATTCATTTGACTTTTGAGGCAAAGGCTGAGTGATCTTAGACAAAAATCAGAATTCGACCGTCCAAGAGTGAAACAAATTTTACATCAAGTTATTTGTACACCGAAAAATAGCAATCATGTTCGATCACAGTAGATTACGCCTGGAAAACAAATAGACCTATTCGTGTATTGTATTTGCATTAGCTGTAGCATCATAATGTGGCATTCACTAGTCTCTCCAACATTGCTCCGTTAGAGAGACTATGGATAATTGGACAACCCCGAAATATAATTTTAAGAAACACATGCGCCACGATAGTCCTTGGTGGCGGCCAATTTACACGTTGCATTCCTCTGTCTAAAAGAAAGGCCAAAATAAAAATCAGACCGGATTTTATGTGTTCGACAAGTTTAGTTTACTAGTAAATCTTGGCGACGAATCTGGTGGCGTTTAAACCAGCCTTTTAAACATACTTTTTCTCATCACGTCTCAGGTAAACAGTACACAGACCTCGGACAGAATTTGTTCTTTTTTGCCCTATTTAAACTTATAATTCTGCAGTTTTTCACAATTTTGCAAGAGAATTTGCACTCATTCAATATCCACGACGATCAAAGTACACGCTTCCTTTGCACAACAAATTATAGCATTGAATTATAAAACGTTTTCTGTTAGAAAAATCTGGTCCTATGTGATATGCGGGGTAATAATTATGGGCTTTTAATGAAAACGATAAAAAAAATTCCCAAAATCACTTTTCGGCCAGCCGGACGGGTTCTCACTTTTGACAGGCACCAAATTTGCAGTGCGATTAATAGAGTCAGTATTTACGTTCAACATGATAGAGAAATTGTTATGTTTAGGTTTTATTTCCCTTTATTCATTGAACTGTGTATGATTTTGTTGTGTAATCTTTAAAAGCGAGTGATATTTACGCGCGGCGTTTTGAGTATTCCTACATGCGATGTTTATGTTCGACTGGAAACAACCGGTGCAGCGATGAAAATTGCGAGAGGGACTACTAACGATCAATAAAATAAGTTTAATTCGGTGAAACATGTACAGAGACGATAATTTTCATTCACGAAGAGAAGTATTGAGAGGAAAGTGTCTCAGAAAATCATGAGTCAGGCAAGCATAAGCTTATTTATGTTTTAAGCCGGCTTCCCGGTGTTCGCTCTTTCTCAAAATGAACTCGAGGCAAGAAAATCGCTCAGAGCTTTCTGTTTACAGCCAAAATCATAACTAAATAATCTTCGGAACCTTTTCTTTGAATTTGCGGGTCAAAAAATGTCTAAAGGCTTTTTAAAGCTGATACTATTGATATTGTAGGTTAGATCATTACTCGTGTTTTAACTTAAGCCGCATAAACCATACGCTCGACTTCAGGAAACCGAAAAAAAAAACATCAAAAACAATAATGGCTCAAGCTTACCAGTCGAGATGCTGCTTCTGAAGGTCATCAAGTGTTCCAGAATCGCTTGAGACTTTTCAACCTTCTTACGCCTCAAGCAAGGGCTAGTGAGTAAGCTCATTTTTGAAAACGATGCCATCCGAAATCGGATTTCCAATGACTTTGACAAGCGGTGCATTTGTCAACAAAAAGCGCAATAAACAAACCAGCCACGAATTACAGAACAATCTTGATAGCAGCTGTATTTCATTTTGTACACCAAGTAGAAAAAGACAGTTTAAAACATCACAAGATGACACAAAACTCTCTCAGCTCCAGCTATCAGTAAGCAAGTTTCCAGACGCTGCAAAAATTTTCCGCATAAACTCACCTGTCAAATTTTGACCAATCAGAACATAAAAATTGGACGTAGAGCGTGATCAACGCGTGACAGTGAGAAAAGTCAATGGGAAAAAGCGATTGCCTTCCTTCCCTGCATGTAAATGTAAAAGCCGGTTGATTTTTTCGTGTCCGAGATGAGTTGGATGGTTCCGAATCAACATTTTCAAACCAAAGATGGACTTGATTAGCACTATTATTGTATTCGGTTTCTTAGAGATCCAAAGCAACAATGTACCTGTAGATGTGCGGCTCATTTTGTTTTCAACAACAAACACGACTTATTTCCATATGCATTTTACAAAAAAATTGAACTTGAGCCTGCGATCATTTGAAAAGTAGCCGTTTTGCATAACATTTTTAAAACGCTTTTTGTCACCTTGGGTCACTGTACATTTATACCTGAAAATAACAAAACAACTTGCTTCCCGAAAATACCTTCAAAATATTACTTTTACCGAACTCGTGAAAGATAAAAGGGTCGATACCTGGCCAATATGTATAGTCGAAGAGCCCGCGCAAAACGTCGAATGAGGTTGAATACAGTCTTTCTATTATCATGTAAATGTAAAAGCCGGTTGAATTTTCGTGCGATACTGGTCAGCAGAAACACTATTTTGACAGCTGTCAATTAATCAAAACATGGATGTACAATATCAGGTTGCAGGTCCCAAACTAGCTAGAAAGTGTAAGATTAAACATTAGTATGCCTGTGGTGCGGACAGACGGAGGGTCGGGTGGTCGGTGTACGGTCACGTGATTGCCGAATTTTCTAGGATGGATACATTTTCTATAAAGCTATGGGGCTTCGAATTGAGCCCGTGATCAAATAAAATATCAGCGCAAAACTTTAAACACTACGTGACCTCAATAGATAGAAAAATGAGTCCGCGATCCACTCAGGTGATGATGGTCAGCGTATACTCTAGTTTGACAGCTGTCACTTAACCTTCATTAGAATGGCGAATATTCGAATTAACAGACTACGAGTGTGAGTAGGACATTTCCGTCCGGCTTGTAGTAGAAAATGCCAGATCGTGTACCTGAGCGAACCTGAGCCCTCGTTATTAGTTTTCTGATAGCGGTCTGCACATGTCCCATTTTGACAGCTGTCAATTAACCTTAATTTGGCCTGCCA